CATTGTATCGCTCCATAGAACTCTCATACTTTTCGAGTGCTTTCTGGGTAGCTTTATCGTGTTTCTCGTTTACCTTGACTCTCTTTTTGAGCATAGACTTCTCTGCAGACTTTCGTTCCGCCTCGCTAACGTACACATCCACCTTGCTCAGGACGTTGGATGGATTAGCAACCGGCGGGAGCTCTTCGATTTCAAGGGGTGAGATCCATGGGTCAAGAGCCCTCAGGCGGCGCTCTTGTGCACTGATGGTCTTGAGCTCGTTGGCCTCCGCCAGGCTTTGGAGAGATTCTAGAATAGGCGACTTTTTGTCCACGTCTCCCTTTTGGTTCAAGATTGGCATGTTGGTGAGCTTTGCGACAGTCTTCAGCTTGACAATCTGCACTTCCAGACCTCTAGGATTGAAGAGTTCCTTGTTTGCTTGGCGAATGACGACCTCGGATCGAATCTTTGACATGGCATAAGTCCCAACCATGGCACTAAGACCAGCAGCCGCAGAAACAATCTGGGCAGTTGGTTCAGGCACGTATCCAACAATATCTGAAGCAGCTCCGAGGAGGCGCAGCGGCGGGCTCTGGACAATGTTGCGATTGAGTTGGTCTACAAACTCCAAAAACTCGACTTTCGAAATGCTCAAATTGGCCAGTGCGGGCGGGTAGGCTCGTAAAAACGCAGATCCCACGTCTGCGTTTGTGGAGGGAATTGCGATGATTCTTTTAGCACTGCTGATGCTGGCCGAGCTTTCCAGAGTCAGGGCTTGCTGTTGTTTGACTAAGAGGTTTTCATATGGCGGCGGCTCAGAGTCCGAAGAGCTTCGTGCGTATGCGTATTGTGATGATCCCTCAAGCTCGGCAATGGTTTCTCGGCGGGTCTCATATGAGAGATCTTGTTTAACATTGACAGTCGAAATACCCATGGCTGAAACTGTAATTGCCTGAAAATGATAAGGTAGAGTTGTAAGCCAGTTTGTGTGGAATTAAATGGTCTGATCTTTGATGTTGATGCTGGACGCTGATAGTGATGAGCCTGAAGAGAAACAGTTCATGATCTGGTCAAGCCTCTCCCTTTAAATCCTTCAAACTCATCATCAATGCCCTTGCTTATCCTGTATTCTGACTCTACAAATAGATGCATGAAGGAACCAACATATCCTCTCAGCCTTGGGCCCATGACCCGAATGGTAAACTTCCTGCGAGTTCGTCCATTCCTTTCGGACACAGCGTTTGAGTAAGCTGCAGATCAGGGCGACACTAAACCCAAACTCGCTAGCTATGGCGAGATGAAGGGCAGAATTTCCATTAGTTGCAAATCCTTTGGGTAAGACCTGCAACGCTAAGAAACAGGGGAAGCAGGGGTTTGTGGAGATGGGCGATTGCATGGCTGATGAAAAGAGGTTAGTGATTCGAGTTCCATTCGAGATCCATTCTATCAAGACTTGAGTGAGATTCATTCGACTCTGGCGAGACTATTCATTTGAGCTCTCCATTCGAGGGCTTTTATGGGGAAACCCTTTCGAGCGTCGATTCGAGCTTTTGCTGGCTATCTCGGCACCTTCGTGGCGACGCTCTTCATCCCAAAATGGCAGAAAGCCGATACAGACGATGGTGTGTTGCCACGCGGCAGATGGTGACGCAAGACAACGCCCACGAGGAAATCGTAGCAAACTGCGCAAGGGGAAGCAATAAGAGTGGTATGAGTTTTCCCTGCACTGGGGGCAGCAGTACCTATTTAAAGGCACGGAAATCTGCCAGGGGGAGTGCTTGTAGCATGAGTAACGAACGGAGTATCGGGGCCACGCTCTTTAAGATCTGGCTATGGCCATCGGTGATTGGTCTGGCACGATCTTTTCGGCCTTTCCAATCATTTAAAGAATTGGCACCGACTTCCTTATTAAGTCTCCGGTGGTATTTTCTCTGTGTTCTATTAGTTTGACAGTCAGCTTTTTGTTACCCTTGGTCGCTATTGTCCAAATCACGGAAGTGGCTGACTGCCGTGTGTCCCACCCAAGCACTCTTATCAATGTTAATGAAATAAGATGGGAGAGCCTACGATCGGAGTGGTGCCTATGCCGATACATAGTCCTGCTCAAGTCCTGGGAGATGTATGACCTTCGAAAAGAAAGGTAAATATTACACCCTCTCGCATCAACATGAACAATGCGAAGACAAAGAAGCATCTAAGCAATGAATATCAAGCATTCACAGTCATGACAGCTAATTGTTTCTCTATATCTAGAAGCATTACTACAACATATATGAGTTGATGCCTCGGCCCCGATATCTAGTGGCATGTTCTAGGGTAAACACTTAGTATACTATGGGGAAGATCTACGGTGTGCGATGGTGTACGACGAGCGATGATCGTGAAACAGTTTTTTCTGAGTAGCGATTATGTTATAATACAAATTACTTTACCTGTATCTCAGCCTATACTAACATAATATGAATGAAGACATGTTCAATTTGTCATACAAGCATACAGTTGTCCGTCTTGAATCCGCACGATATGCCAAAGAGAGCAATAAGCCGTTCAAGGTAAGAAGCGCCTTACCTCAATAGGAAAGCGCGCGTCCTCCGTTTCTATCATGAATCGTCTACGGTGAGTAGAAGAGAATCAATTCGGACTCATAAAGTTTCTAGGCAACAAACTGTCTCTACCTTGTATTCCATCAAGGCCTCTGTTAGTTTGTCATACGCTATACACTCTTATCCTTTGAACCTCATACCAATCAGCCATGCCTTCCCTGGCCTGCTGGACCTGCCGGCTCCGGAGAAAGAAATGCGACCGGACTCAGCCGATATGCCAGAGTTGCGCCAATCTGAATATCAGTTGTTGCTACAGCAAGGACCGTCCTGATTGGATGGATGGAGGTGAAAAACAGGCGCAGATGACACAGGCCATAAGAGCCCAGGTGAAGCAAGGAACCTCGACTCGCCGTGGCAACGAGGCTACCATCCGGGTCTTTTCACTTCACGATGGCCAGCACCAGCAGACTGAAACCACGCCGGCGAGGCGCGAGACATCGCAGGACAACTCCGGTGTGGATCAGACAAGCTCTAGCTCCCCTGCGTCTTCGCATGTAACCTCTCAGGAAGACACGAATGAGTTTCTCGCCACCTTGTATCTCGATACTGTTCTGCCAGCCCTGTTCCCTCTCTACGAACCGGCGACTCTGTCTGGCGGTCGCTGCTGGGTACAAACGCAGCTGAAATCAAACAAGGCAATCTATCACAGTGCGCTCAGTCTCAGCGCCCATTACTTCACGCTGTTGCTAGCCAAAGATGCGAATCACACTCTCCGCACTCCTTGCGAACAGCACGTGTGGGACACTCTGGCGATGCACATGGACTCGGCGATCCACGTCATCAAGCAAGATATGGATCGCTACCATAGTGAAAGTGGCCAATCGGACATATTCTCCAAGCTCAATGTCCTGGGCGGCGTTACGCAGTACTTGATCTTTGCCACAGCGATGCCCCAGGATGCCGGTTGGAAGATGCATTTGTCGGCGGCCTTGACATTGCTGGATGAAGTGTTTCAGTCGCATGGAATGGAGAATGGTGAATATTCTCTAGACGAAGCTTTGCAGGCCATGGCTAAGCCTTCAATATTCGAAGGCATCCATCTTGGTTTCAATGTATGGGACAAAGACCAAGCCGCATTTCAATTCTTCACCTCTTTCCTGCTATACGTTGATATCATGGCTAGCATTCAGTTGGGACGTCCCCCTCGGTTTCAGCACCACCACAGGGGCCTGATAGCTGGCTGCAAAGTGCCCATGGCTCTGGATGGTCAACCTCGATCGCTTCTCGAAATGGAGTCCTACGTTGGCTGCCCAGGGTGGATTCTTACTATTCTCGGTGAGATTTGTACAATGGAAATAGCAAAGCAGTTCGCTCAGCGTGAAGGTGTGCATTTTATGACAAGGGCCAAAGCAGAGAATGGGGAATTGATGAAGAGATTGCGACAAGGCATGACGGAAATTGATGCCACCATCCAGTCAGAGTTTCTTACAACGCAGCTAGACACTATAAGACTGGGTGAGCAGCATCAAAAAACACAGGCTAAGAAACTCGCGCTCATAACGAAGGCTTGGCTGCATGCAACTATGATTTATCTGTCAGTGGTCGTTGATGGCTGGCAGCCAGGCAATCCATTTAATCGCGGTAATGTGAACTCCATCTTGAACATCTTGGACATACTCTCGCCCAACCTTTCAATACGCAGTCTCATGTGGCCGATTTGCGTATGCGGTTTCTTGGCTACACAGGAGCAAGAACATACATTTCGGAACTTGGTATCTTCTTTGGGGCCACTGCAGGCTCTTGGCCCCTCAAGACAGGCCATACGACTGATGGAAAAAGTATGGGAGCTTCGCCATCATGTAGATGAAGAGACATGGGGAATCCAGAACTGCTTCCAGTTGTCTGGATCCGATGTACTCTTCATTTGATCGCTTACTGGGCGTTGCAAGTTCAGGTTACAGGCCTGTGAAGAAAGAGAGAGAAGTTATTTGTAGGCTCCCTGCTGGGATTTGCGAGCCTTTATGTACGAATTCTAGTCAACCTGGCATCGCTTAAACTATTACACGCACACATATGCAATGCCATGCTTTAAATTGTCAGCAAACGAATCATAAACACGGCGAGATGCCATCTCCATAATTCCAAATTCGGAAAGCGCGCGCCTCATAGTGTTGACGAATGGCGATTTGTACTACAGGCAATCAGTTGAGAACACGATGTCAACAGCGATATTAACAAAATCTCCTTTCAAATTGGAATGATTAGAAATAGAATTTCTTTTCAACCATTCATGCTGACAAACTGAGGACGCAATGGTTCCGGTGACTGTTATTGAAGCTCACGAGTGTTTGCATGCAGGTATATAATCAGCCGAGTGGAACTGTCAACAGATCATCTTCATCAACTTACACACTTACACTCTCCAACCTTCATTACTCCCCAATTTCTAACTAAAGAAGATAGAATTTACGCAAAAAGATGTCTGTCATCGCTGTGGCTGGTGGAACCGGCAACGTTGGCCGAGCCATCGTAGAGACTCTTGCACAGTCTTCCAAGCACAAAGTCATCGTCCTGGCACGCAAGGTACGCTCATAGAACCATTAGTGGAAATCAAGTTGAACTGACCGAAGAAACAAATGAAATAGGCGAAGACGGTCCTTGAGAACGTGCCCACTTTGGCCATTGACTATACCAATGTCGATGCAACCGCCAAAGTCTTGGAGCAGTATGACGTGGGGGTAATCATTTCCGCCATCCAAGTGACGGACGAGACATCTTCTGCCGCTGAAATCAGCCTCATCAAAGCCGCAGAGCAGTCATCAACTGCCTCTCGATTCATTGCTAGCGGCTGGGGATCACTCCCAAACGAGGCGTAAGCTATCTAGCCAATCCTGTTTCTCACATTCTCACCAATAAGTCAGGTCTCCTACGTTAGCTTTCTCGCGAGCTTCAGAAGATTCTCTACGCAACACCGCGCTTGAATGGACGAGATTCTCAGTTGGCCTCTTCTTGGATTACTATGGGATGCCTGCCATCAAAACGCATCTGCCTCCCATGTCGTTTGCTGTCGACATGAACAGCAAAAAGGCGGCTCTTCCAGGAACAGGAAATGAGCCGTTTGCCTTCATTTACTCTTACGACGTCGGCAAATTTGTTTCTGCATTCTTAGATGTGCCGAAATGGGAAGAGATTACGTATATCTACGGAGAGAAGACAACCTGGAACGGGTTTATCAAGGTGGCCTCGGAGGTATCGGGTAAGACAAACTATTCGCACATCGTCACAATTTGTCTACCGGTCTCAGCAGCTGATGTTACGAATGTACTTAGGTTCTACATTCGAAGTATCGTATGACCCCATTGAAAAGCTAGCAAAGGGCGAAGTCACTGAACTTCCTTCGCACAAAGAAGAGTTGGCCAAATCTCCATTCCCAGAGCCTATTGCTCGCCAACTGTTGGCCGTTCTTGGTTACTGGGTCGTTGGGGGACAGTTTGATATACCTGTTGACAAGTCACTCAACAAGATTTTCTCTTCGATCAAGCCCATGGGGGTTCGAGACATGCTCCTTGCCAGACAGAGTTCCTAATGCTATTGGAACTCATTACACGGCATTTCTGGAGATGGTTGGCTGTGTGGTTATCAGAGCGCAAGCATCAAGATTGCGTATGTTTCTGAATCGGTCGATAGAAAACAATATCAGTATTAGATCCCCTTTCAAGCATCGAAAATGTATTTAACAGACGAGATTGGCCAGAATTCACTGATTGGCGTGGAGATGTAACAAAAAAATATTAAGCACTACAAAGAATCCGGTCAAATTATTATTTTTGTTTACCTAGAACACGCGCGTATTAACCTTTCCTCATACCATATACCCAACATAAGAAAAGAAGAAGAAAAGATTATGGCATATCCACGTCGCTACTTCAAATTTCGGCGCAACAGACGCAAAGCCATGATACACAAAAACGAGGTCCCAAAAACCTGGACACGTCTAGTTGTATCGATTGACAAACTTTATCACCTTACGGCCAGTGGTGCTTCTCACAAATCCATCCAACTCGTTGACAAAAGTCGTCTTGAATCGATAGTCGTTTGTCTTAATGACATGAAGAAATCCCTTGATACGAGCAATGACGGCATCGAGCGAAAGAACCCGTGAAGTCCGCGGAGAGCACATCAATCGGATCTCCAAGAACGACTCCATAGATGGCTCCAGCTTATCTAGAATGATCTGCCATTGCAAGATGCCGCACTCTTCGTTATTCAACAAGGCCGCCATGTCTTCAAACTGGATGTATTCTCCATCCCAGTCGAAGCTGACTCGCCTGTCACGGCCCTGGAGGCGGAGGATCCGGAGATGGGGCCAATCAGCCGCGGGAACCTTGTCTCGAGCTTCTTCAGGCAAAGGATGAACGGATCCAATATCGCCAGTGACGTAGCGCACGAGTGGATTACGCAGACGAGAAAGAGACGTCTGAACAACCATGCCAACCTCTCCATCGGGTAGAGGATCAACATTCTTGTCATCTTCAGTAAATGAAGCTGGGAAGACCTCGAGCAGCATGGCTCGCGTGTCGAAGATGAGATCCTCTTCGCTGGTGGTGCTCTCTTTTCCAACGATGTCGGGGCTACTGGCCGCCCACGGTCCTGCCTCTGCGCTCCCCAGGACGGAGATGATCTTGACACCCCTGAGCGTCGCTTTGATGTGCGCTCTCTGTGCAGCGGTAAGCACCTCAGACGTGTAGATGAGCTTGTCGAGCCTAATCAGAGCGCGCTCCTCCTCGGCGAGAGTCGAGATGTAGTGTACCATCTGGACAATCTGGCCGCTGTCACCGGCGAGCACGTTGATGTGGTATTTTGCCAAGAGGTTAACAACATCGCGAGGGGGCATGAAGTTGCCGGCGCTGAGAACCGAGGCACCGGCATTCTCCATGATTTCAAGCATGAGATCCAGCGACCTGTTTCTTCAAAGTCAGCGCCCCTTGTTTCGTGTCTTGACCGCGTCGTTGAGCAACTCACCTGTACAGTTCGCCCGCACAATGGGTCGTCAGTGCCCAGTCTCCCGGCTTGATGACTCCAATGGTTTTGAGAAACTGGCCGAAATGGGCCCTGTGTTTGCGGTTCTCGTACACATCTGTGCCGAAGAACAGCGGCTTCGAGCCGAAACCTCCGCCAGTGATGCTTGCATATACGCTCTGGCGATATGTGTTGTTGGGGTCCGTGTCGTTGACGAGCCGCTGAATGGTGTCGTAACTACATGTAGTTTATAGTCAGAGAAATGGACTAATTGCTGCCTCCAGCGCCTCTCTTTCACTTACAGATTCTTCTTCCAGATAACAGGCCGTGACCTGAGATCTTCATTCTCTTGCTCTCGCTCGGTGGCGGCTCTCTCTCTGACCGATTGAACAGTCTTTTCGTCGGGAGGATACTGTATCTCCTCCACGTAAAAAGGGTGGATGTTGGCAATGGCCAACACCTCGCCTAACGAATGCGGCTGAAACTCCATAATAGCAGGGATCCAAGCTGAAATGACGCTGTTGTTTTATTTTTTGATTTTTTGATTTTTTGATTTTTTGAAGAGAGAAGTGTCAGAGTAACCCGCACAGCAGCCGTAGAAATACTACGCGGGCCACAGCCTGATCATCGTCGCTCTGCTCACATGCCGAACGCTCTTGTTCCGTTACTGTGCGGCGCTCACTGTACTCATTCTCATTCCCCGTACGCCTCACGTCGAGATCCGCGCACTATTAGTCCAACGACAAAAGCAAAAGCAGCAGCAATAATTGCTTTTTTGGTGGGCGTTTAGGCAGCCGAGGTGGGAAAGCTGCCCATGGGCCTAGTTTCACCCTGAGACATGCATGCAAAGCACACGTAATTTTCCCTTGCAGCAGATGGCCAAGAAAGAAAAAGGCAGCGAAAAAAGGCACATCATCAGAGTTGAGAGAGAATGAGGCGAGCAGATGCCCTGTAAGATCTACCACCGACGGCCGCATGCAGCTAGCTGGACCACGTCAGAAGCTGATGTCTTTCTGGGGGCTTGTCGCCATGTCTACAACATTAGAGAGAGAGAGAGAGAGAGAGAGACAGTGTTTCATTTTGACCGCCATTATTACTACTGCTGCCATCACGACTGAACTGGTGGTAGCAGTTACTGTATGTACATGCAAAGACTGACTTGGTTCACATCTTGTCCTTGTAAGCATGAAGCTGGGCGCGATGGAGTTGCTCGGCAAATATCACGACCCCTGCAAGATTGGGATTCAGCTGCGTTCAGCCCAGCCACCCCTTCACGACAGGCCAATGGAGGCAGACCAGGGGGGAGAGAATGGCCATGTTTTCATCATGGTTAATTTCTAGCAATGTGACACACACTCAAAAGCGCATATAGTGGCAACCACCGCAATCTGGCTAGCTGCTGCTGTCAAACTAAATACTATTACCGTTGAGGTTACATACGAGTACGGACAGGACAGTAGTTACATAGGTAGTATTACAAGCAATTTCATGTGCTTTCACAACAGGCCAATGGTATCGGCGACTATTGAAGCCACCTCGACAAGACAGCCCGGCCAGAGGAGGGCCATCCCGTGTCTCAAAATCAAATCCAAGTGTACACCATCCCATTACCTCCGCATACCCGCACCTCGTTCCTCCGATACCCCTGGCTACTTTTCTTTTCCCAGCTTGTTCGCTTTGCTCATGTGCCGAGCATCTAGTGACTAGTAACTAGTAACTAGTAAAGGGCACGGCGTCCCACCTCACCCGACGCAGATGCCGCTCCGGATCCTTGACGTGGTTCCGCGCGTGCAGCCACCGCCTGTTATCGATGAGGATGATGGACCGCTCTGGAAGAGCCTTTGCAGTGAGATGCAAGGTCGAGTGGCTTCTCGCGTCGGCGCCCTGCAGGGCTTGTTTCAGCTCTTTGAGAGCGGCAGACGCCCGCTCGTTCAGGGGCGTCAGGAGATCTTCCCGGAAGCGCATCATGCTGAGCCGGCCCCCGTCGTCGGCCATTAGGATGCTCCCCACGATGTGCTGGTGGTCGGGATGCTTGACAAATTCCGGTGGCGTCCGGATGAGGAACTCTGGCCTGGCCAGAGTCTCCCTGGCGGCGGATGAGAGCAGTTCGCTCAGCCGCTCCACGTTCATGACAGAGAGCGTCCCGCCACCGCAGCGATCAGGCTGGAGCACCTGCAGGGCAAAGTAGCGTGGTGGAGGATCCTCGTAGCTGCAGTCCGTGTGCCAAGGGAAGTCCTCCATTGTCTCTGAGCGAGCCTGGCAGTTGGCCGTCTGGAAGCTGGTCGAAGATGGGAGAACGTCCCAGAACCAGCCGCGGGTGGCGCTGTGGGCAATGGGGAGCCGGTGGCCGTGGTTCTGATGCAGGCTCCGGAGCAGCTGCTCGAGATATCGGCTCTTGCGGTCTGCAAAGCCCAGGCTGACCTTGAGGATGCCCTTCTGGCGGAGCTTCTCACACACGCTGCGGACGTGACCAGGTTCCTGGGCGCAGCTAAGATCTGGTGCGTCCAAGATCGGGACTATCTGCGAGATATCGGCCGATAGGGGAGGAGGATGACTGGATTCATGGACGGCAGCTCGAGAGTGCCAGGGATATCGCTGGCGGATCGTACCTTGTATACGATGAGCCGTGAGGAGATTCAGCGCGACGCGGCGATACATGATGGACAAAGGTCAGGTTTGTTCGGTCAATAACGACTTGGTTCTGGTGATACTGTGTGCGGAAGAGTGGTGACGGATAAGGGCCTCTCTGGGTTGCGTATTCCCCTGTGGACTGCGGATGGGACACGACCCATCTTCCACCGACGCAAAGGGTTATTTATCTTGTCAATTATACTGCTAGTAGCACGAACAAGTATGCAATGTACGAGCCCGGGCACATGCCACCTGGCGTTGGCATCGTGTTTACTCAAGCCCCCCTGTCAAGCTGGGCAAACAGAGACGCTACCATTTCCAAGGAAATTGCCGCCGTCAACAAATTAGGTCTACGAGTACGGGTATGCTCATCTACGTGTGGATACGGGCTTAAGAAACAAGGTGTTGAACCCCAGTAGATAATAGTCATAGCAAGAATACGGAACATCTTAGCAAAATGTCTCTGAGACACTCTCGCCCGCCGCAACCTTGTCCTTGCGTATCACGGAACAAAGCCAAGCTCCACCATGACTGATGGCACAGATCCGGTCATCACTACTCCGCCAGAGTGCAAGCCCGAGCAGGCCTCCGTTGATCACCATGAACGTGCCGATCAAGGGGTAGCTCACCCTCTCTCCCGACGCCTTCAGCACCACGCCATACAGCCGAGGGATAATCCGACGCTGTATCACGCAACATCTCTCTAGCTCGAGATTCGGAGACAGCTGAAGCTTTAGTGCAGCCATCCACTCCTCGTCGGTGATACTATCGCCAAACTTGATGCCGTCGCCCTTTCCACTGCGAATTGGCTTCAAGATATAGTCCTGACGAACTTCTGGATGTGCCTCTGAGTGAATCAAGAGATCTCTAAGCTCGTTAGACCCTGGGAGATATGTGTCTGCGATACTCCTGTCGAGAATCATGGCCTGCCTCTCCGTGATGATCCCGAGAAACACTTGCCTCGCAAGTTCCTGCTTAATGATGCCCAGCATTCGCTTGTCATGAACCAACAAAATAGTCCTCATATCATTGAAGCAGCGCATGCTAATCTCACGCAACATCTCGGGTTTCATGGCAAGCAGCTCACGCTGGTGCAGCTCCAGCCCTACCTGATAGATCTGCTCTACTACCTCTCCGTTGCTAATGAAGGAAAAGGTCGACACGTCGGGCACAGCATCACCTCGCTCCGGCTTCTTGGAGACGGCACAGAGCTTATACCCGGACTTGCTTCTAGCGTCTGGCACCAGCCTCAAGTCTGCAGGAGTAATGATTCGTGGAGCGTAACCCATGCGGCGTTTGAAAGCGTCGACAAACATGTGAATGTCCATTCCAGCCTCCTCGCCTTTGAGAAGATGGACGGGGCGATCTCGCCGGAAGAGGGTGAACAGCCCATCAACAATCTATAACCCGCATTAGAGAGAAATCTGGCCTTTTCACAAGTCATTTCGGTCATACCTCTTTTGGGCGTGCAGCGCTGACGAGTCCGTGACTCCCCATGCCCGTATCATCCAAGGCCATGTGTCCATATGTCGCGTGCATAAACCCATTGAACGAGAACCGGGCATTGATCTCGGTAATTCGAAAGTTTTCTACCGCGACGCCATCTTGGAGCTTGATTTCTTCGACCATGAAGTCGGGCCTCCACGAGCCTCGGCGTTGTTCATATTCCGGCAAGTTTCCAATTATGGACTGGTGTCCTACATACTATGTTCATATTCGCGTCAATCATCATTGATAACCAGAGAGTTCAGCAATCACTTACTTTCAAGAGATCCTGTTCCTTCTCCCCAAGTGGCATTCGCTTGGGAAACTCGGCGGCAGCATCAAGCCACCAGCGGCTCACGATATCCGTAACCGAGGTCACCAACGCAGCGTTGAGCTCCCGTAGCACTGACTGATGATGATTGTTGATGAGGATGGGCCGAGGGCAATAAGCCTTGTAGGACCCTGAAGGCCAGAGGGGAGGGGGGCAGAGCCGCATGAGCTTGGCTTTGAGCGTCTCATGCTCCCAATTGTAAAAGGTCTCATCGGCCTCTGCGGTTAACACATTTTCATATCCATTGGGGCCGCGCCCAACATGGATCTGCTCGAGAGGCTCGGGATAAAAAAGATGATTCATCTTGAAAGTACTATATCTGCTGCGTATACAGTAGAGGCAACTGGCAATGTGTGAGATATGAAAAGCGTCACCGAACCAACCTCTCTATTGCTATGGCTTAAATATCCTCCTCGCCGAGCTTACCAGAAATGTCCCACGATCCATGTCATGCCATCATTCTCTTAAACACACGTATCCAATCCGACAAGGCCAGATCGCCAGCCCGCAATCTCTCGATCGTTCAGCTCCACGTCGATCAGATCATCCACCCTCCCCCCCGTCGTATCCAAATACGACGCCATTTCAAATAGTCCACCGGCTAACAGCGCCAGGGGGGGAGAAGGCTCAGTTCCGGACGCCATTGTATTTCCCATTCGGCCAATGCCCGCGCCTAGACTTGGGTCGTCTACCCCCCTTGCATATAAAAGTCTCAGACACGCCCGCCCAATGACCAGCTTCGGGAGAGACACGGCAAGCCACCGGCTCTGCCGCCTTGACGGTGATGGCACTTGCAAGCGAAACAAGACAAGCGGAGAGGGAACAGGTGGCTGGCTTACAACCAATGGATGTCCAAGCATACAAAAAGCAAAATCCAAGACATGAGGCTTCGAGATATTACTCAGAAGCGGCCACCCCCACGTAATACTGCTAGCCTGCACCGGCCCGGTCCTAGCTAGCTGTCTCAAGCTCGAGAGGCAGGGAAGTGTCAATAATGGCTTTCATTCACGGTGTACTTTGGGCCTCTGCTCTGCATAGACACACGGGCATTTCTTTATGCATGCGCTTAATGCCGGCAGTAGTAATGCTACCCTGAGATGAAGATCGATCTGATGCTACCAATGACGAGTGTGAATCCATGATAGGTGTTATATGAAGAATTGAATGCCAGATAGAAAGAGCAAAAGCATTTGTAAACCATCATAGAGGAGAAGAAAAACTGTCTCAATAACCACTGCTTCATGAGAACAAGTCCCAACCGTCAGTATTCTCAATAATCGCCTTCAACGGCGCCGCCAAATTCCGGAAATTCTCCACGCTGCTCCTGCTCGCCTTCATCACCAGCTCTTCCGCCTGCTTCAAAACATCGTCCTCATTGCCCTTGCCACTGCTCTGCCTGAAAATCCAGCTCCGATCCAGCAAGGCCATCGCCAGCTCCACGCGAAGATGATCCACCAACGATACGCTGTTCGGGTCGTCAAGCGCAGGCGTCGAACCAATCGTGATTGCCATCGGGGCCTTGGGGTTAGCATTCATCAACTCCCTCTGAAGCGCGTCGAAGCTGTTCTGGTATGGAACTCCGCTGGCCACAATGTCATGTAGAAGTTCTACAGCCCTCCTTGCGCACCTGGCCGCAAGCTCTTGAATCTTATTGGGCTGTGAAGCTGACAGGGGTAAAGTCAGCATCTTGATATTGAGCGACAGCGTATCTGGAAGGACTGCTGGCTTTCGATTCTGATCGGCTTGCCATTCCGGGGTTCGAAGGCTGTCGATCCGCTCCAAAATCCGCCCCCAAACCGCATTGTCATGAGTAGCAGTCAATGTGTCGCTCACGAATTCATTAAACTTGTTCAAGTTCCCTTGCATGATGATGATATCCGCAATCTCAAAGAGAAACGACTCATGCGATTGATGAGAGTCTTCCTGTTGAGTCTTTTCATCGTTCGTCTTCTCCAACCTCACAAGATGGAGGCGAATCGTCTCAAGGAGACTTTTTGTCAACCGGTCATAGTCATGGTTCCATAGATTGCCCCAATGTTGGCCTGAATTAGAGCTGACCAGCTTCTGGTCGGCTCTCACAGCTTGGGTTATAGCAGACACCCAGTCAGGAAGATGCATTCTCAGCAATAGATACTGCTTTGCCATATCAACATACTTGGCTGAAATGTCGGTTTGCATCACCACGAGAAGATTTACCAGCGCAGTCGGAAACATGGGTATGGCGGGAAGCTGGGCGTCATCAGGCATGGTGAAACCATGTTTCTTGATGAACAGTCTCATCCATCGTTGCTCGTTTTCCGCCGAAGCATCCATAATGGTGTAAACGAGCTCCTTATACGCTCGGCCTTCTTCTGACTGCCAATCCCGCTCAACACGCATGTTCAAGATGAGGTCCATGATTGTGGGAGTGGTCAAGGTTCTATCGGTAGATTTCCATATCTCAGGCAGCTCGTCATCAGATGTCAAAGCATCCCAATCCGTCAACGGCTGGGATTCGTTGATTGAAGATGCAATAGGCGCGGCATACTTGAGCAACGCATCGAATATGCGCTTCTTCACCTCGAGATCGGCAGTGTTAGCTATGGCTTCCGTCAATCCCTGGACAGCAGCGGTCCGAATATCAACGTGGCTTGCTCTCTTGAGAATCTTGATGTTTAATTCCACCGCAAGACCCGGGTCCACAACAGGAGATTCTCTCAGAAGCTGGGCCAGCATTTTGACCGTGGTGACTTTGACAAGCGGTCCCTTGTTTGCACATTCATCATCAGGCTTCTGTTTCGCCCGCCTCTCTGCCTGTTCTTGCAGCTTATCCAAGATGGCATCCGTAAAAGCCTCAAAGAAGTGCTTCGCATCGGCAGGGCGGAAATGAATGAGAGCCTTTGGGTTAAGAAGCGGCCTATGCCATGAGCTTGCATCCGGGTTCTCCAAGACAAACTGCTGGATCAAAGGGATCGCCATCGAGGGACTGGCCCCTTCCAAGAGCTTGTTAATTATCCATACCAACATACCACACGGTTTCTCTGTTTCCGACCCTCTTCTTACACTCTCGAGAACCGAAGCCCCCAGCTGAGCGAAGAGGCTGGCTGGCACATAATACTTGAAATGGTCAATTATGCGAGTAAACCCAGACACGTGCGTGTCAACCTCTCTCTCTAGAAACTCTTGATCAAGATATACCGCCGGAATACGCACTGCCCCAGAATTGGGAAACGGCTTTTTGAGCAGTGAGATGTCTGAGCCTTTCTTCATGTTGAAAGCTAGGATTCCCGCAACCACATAAGCATCCACATGCTTGCAAGTGAGCTTTGAATACGTGGTAGAGAACGAGTCCCAGAAGGACAAGGGGCGAGGCTTCCTAGGAATGACGCATTTCACGTTCCAAAACTCAAACACAGAACTCTCAGTCGAGGTGAATTCATGCAGATGCCTATCCTTTGGCCGATTTAACAAGACATCCAAACACGTTGGCGTAAGCGTCTTGCTCTTTTCAGTCTGCGATAGGCGTTCATAATCAGGGTCCGGATTCCACTCAATGGGCTGCATATCCTCATCTGCATCAGGAAGAGACGGTTCGTGTCGTTGATCTGCCTTTTCATTAATCCCAACTTCATCTTTCTTGACACCGACATCCTCAAACACAGGCCACCAAAACCTCTCGGCCTCTTCTGAGGACATGCGGCCTTTGCTCAGGTTGACGGTAGCATGTTGCCAGGCCCTCGAGATGCGCTTCTTCCGCTGCTCTTCTTTGGAGAGCTTGCCTGGCATCCGAATGTACTGCTGCAGAGCCGCGGCCCAGCTATCTATAAACGGTCCAATTGCCAGCTGGGTTTCTTCATCAACCTGGATGGGCTGCAAAATCTTGCGAGGATTCATAATCACAATGGCTTTGATCCGTGACCGCGCATACGGCAAGTATGGCAGAGCCGAACCAAAATTGTACTTCAAGTGTTGGATAGCCAGTCCTTTTGGCCAAATCTCATCAGCCGTGACCAAAGCCGGCGTTTGCCGGAGGCGAAACTCTTTCCATATCGAATCCTCAAACTTGGCTAATTGATCAAGAAACATAATGGTAGGCTCGCGCAGAGTTTCAGGCTCTCCCACTTGGAAGGTAGAGAGGTTGGAATAGGCTTGGTAATCGAGTTTTACTTCGCCTTCGGGAGCAAGAATATGTTTATGCGGCAACATCTTTTCCAGCAGGGCGAGTGTTGGCGTCCATAACGCTTCATACAACGCGTCATCCGACATCTTGGTCCGGTCCTGAAAGTCGTTGAAATGGGCGATGCGTTTGCAAATCACTCGATTGATCAACTCAAACGCACGCCCCCAATCGTTCCAGCCGCGAAAGCTAGGTTCATTGATACCCATCATAGCCGTGTCGAAGAGGATCTGCAGGATGTCATTGGCAGAATGTATCCTTTGGCTGAGCTCTTTGGCGTTGACTGGTGTACTTTCTTTAGTGGGCAAGACAGTCACAAGATCAGTCACTTCTCTCGTCCTCAGGGACCATCCGCCGTAGATCTCCTGAACCGTCAATGGATCCTTATTGAACCGCCTTGCCCAGCGAAGTGTTTCTCCATAAAGCTCGAGATCCCCAATCGCGACGCAGAGCTCCAAAGCAGCCACAGCCCATTTCGATCTTATCTCGGGCAAGCGACCCTGGGTGGCCTTTTTCATCCTCCTAGCAACCTCTTGACGAAGATCAGACCGTATGGTATACAATTCTGCTGCTGTAAATGGAGGAGCCTGGCTCCGACGCAACAAATAGGCCCTCATAATGAGACAGTCGGCCAGATTGGAGTCGTCTTGGTCTTGGCAATAATAAATGGACTCGGAAGTCCAACCTCCATTCCAAGATCTAACATCTTTTCCGGCTCTTTGCACTTTCTCCCACAGGGTCAAGGCCTCGTCAGCCGGCAAGAGGGAGAATAACTCGGGATGCCATTGGATTGATGACCTGTCAAGCCCCGAGCACTCCAAGCTAAGGGGCTCTCCAATATCAAACTGAAATCCTATCGTGTTCTTCAAGAATAAACGTAAGAGCTGATATCTTCGTGTCTGGGTGGTTTCCTTTATGAGATCCACCAACGAGTATCTCTTCAGAACAGTCTCAGGGATAAGGGAGAACAGCTCCGCCAACATCTCAGTGTACTCAGTTCGCCCGCGTGAGTGATTCCACACTTTGACTAACCGAGTAAGGAACCGTTTATAGTGCTCGCTCGAATTCTCAAAGTCTTCGTGAAATGGGCGGCGCTCTTTCAAACACTGCATAACACGGCTCCAGAAGCGCATCGTGGTATCGCTGGCTATCCTTCGTCTTGACAAAAACCGCTTGCTTAGAGGATTGATTACCGCCTCAAGGAGATCATCCGGAGAGGCTCCAAGTAGTGCCTCGCTATCTATGAACCTGTCCAGAATATCCAGGCCGTACTGGGTGCGGTGGACGACCAGAGGGTGCACCGCGGTTAGGAACTCGGAGGCTTTGATTTCGTTTCGTCGCAGCTTTTCATCGTAATGCTTCTCAAAGAACTCGTGGTCCGTCTCAACAGCTATATAGTAGTCATTGGGGAGCTGCCGCTTCATTTGCTTCCACTGTAATTGAAAAGCACCACCACAAGCTGGAAGAATCTTGACATATTCATCGCGCAGGGGACGACTATCCAATGCAGCATTATCATCTCCGTCGAGTCCCCAGAGCAAAGTCAGAAGCTCTTCCATTGCCTTGTGACGTTCTCTACGGGCGCCTTGTGCACGACCGGTGATTCCAAGCCATTTAACGAGGGAGCGCACGCCGCTCACACTGAGCTTCGCCATCAGCTGAGCGATTCCCGTCGCGCCGCCAGCGGCTTTCCATGTCTTTGCAAACGTCTTTTCTTTGCATAGAAGGCGGTAGAATCGTGCAATGGCAGCTTGCTGGACGTTGAGGCAGTGCTCCTGTCGAATCACTGCGATGGTCGTCTGAGGCTCCCTGGAGGCAGAGGGCCATAACGAGAGGGCAATGGAGGGAAGAGAGTCTGAAGCAACGAGGGCGATGAGCTGAGAAGTGATGGATGACTCTGCGTCGGGATGGCTGTTGAGAAGATTGTGCAGGTAAGTTGCCTGACCTCGAGGTGTAGAGCCTCGAAGCAGGTTCAGATCAAGCACCACGTTATCCGCCATAGCGATTGTGTGTTGATATCAGGTGAGGATTGGCTCACAAAACAGCCGGTGGTGACGATGTTGGCGATTATTATAGCCTCAGCCACGATGCTCGGATTTCCAACCAAGTCATTCAACCCAATGCAACCTCGTAAGGCTGAATTTCAGTCATTGATGTTTGAGTCAGACTGGAGCCACCTTTTTGTATGGGCGAGCTAGCCATTATTTCAATAGAACAACCCCGCATCCCAGAGATCTAGACGTGGTATCCAATGACTCGAGTTTGTTGATGCCATGGAAGTAGTTCATTTACAATTCGAGACAGAAATCAGGCAACCAACCGAGGAATGAGTCACGCTGCCAGATCTGCAGTGGAAGAGCTGAAGATGGACAGCTTCATGTTGGTTGAGATGTAAGACATGATCTTGGCGCACGACTCACGCGAGAATATAGTCGAAGCAATCAAAGTTCATCTGTGAGTTGAAGAAAGACCTATTTTTACATTCCCGCGTCTAAGCCTTAATACTGAATGCCCATCTTATCTTTAGGGCGTGAATGCATATTGCTATTTGCTGCCATTTAAGCAGCAACGTAATCAGCCAGTTCTTGCTCCTGAGAGGAGCCGGAACAGACTCCTTTATTACCGATGGGGTTGAACAACTTTACAACCTGCTGCCTTACAGTATAATATACTGGATGGCATGATCCGATAAAGCTTGCGCGCTTATTTATATATAATACGTAGTTAAAGCATGGATATAGCTTGTGAACTACTGGAATAAAAATCCGATTAATATAGCGCCGCTCAGCACTAACGAAAAGGCCGTTGTCAGGGCTCGTCCAGCTGGGCTATTACATTAAGGGTCATATAGGCAAGGGACTGAGTATAATATAGGAAAAAGCTTACTTTTATTTAGGTCCCTTTAAAGAAAAGACTAACTTATTTAGGTCTTAGGAGGTTATATAACCTTATATCCCCCTAGTTAAAATAAATATAATCCTTACGTAATATTTATTAAGTTTAAAAATAGCTATATTTCCTATAGGTTTAATAATATTTTAATTAATTATTTAATATATTAATACTAAAATATTTATTTATTTTTATATAAAAATAAGTAATTTTCTATATAAAAACCTTAATTTTTTCTAATATAGTTTTTATTACTTTATAGTCTTTAGCTATATATTTATAATCTTTTATAATAAAGTATTTATTACTTTTAGCCTAAGTATAATTTAGTTAAGTATTATTAAATATTATTTAAATAATTATAATTAAGTTTAAGAGTATATTTATAAAGCTATTTATAATAATAAAAGCTATTATTTATAATAGTAATTTAGCCTTACTTATATTAAATATTAATAATTTAATTTTATAATTAATTATTATATTAAAAGTAGTTAGTAAAAGTTTTTTTTAATTAATTAAAGTTTAGTAATTTAATATTAATACTTTTAAGAAGCTTTAGGGGAATATTTTATTTACTTTAAAAATATTAAATAATATTTTTACTAAAGTAATTATTTTTAATACTTTTAAGTAAATATTTTTAATTTTTTTATATTTTTTTATTAATAATTTATTATTTATTATTAAATTACCTTTAGTATTATTTATAATTTTAAATTTTACTATTTTTTTATAAATAATAGTAGTTTTCTTTAATAAGTATTTTAGGTTTTTTTTAAATTATATAAGATTTTAAAAATATAAAAATATATTTTAGTTATTATTATTAATATAATAAAGTATAATAATTTATCCTATTTTTTAATATACTTAGTTATACTCCTTAAAGTAGTTTTTAATAATTATTTTTTTAAATTTCTTTTTAATAATATTAATAAAAGTATTAAAAACTTTATTATTAAAAAATACTTAAAGTATTAAATATATTATTTATAAAATAATATTATTAATAAATATTTTCTTTTATATTATATAATATATATTATATAAGCCTAGGGAGATATAAAAGCTAGTTATATTTATAAATTTTACTTCCTTAATAATAATTATAAACTATATATAATCTTTCTTATTTAAATAAGTAAATTACTTTTAATATATTTAAAAAACTTTAATAATATTTTTATAGTCTTTTATACCTATAGTAAAGTTTATTATAGTTAACTTTATCTTAAGTAATTTAATATTTATAATTATTAAATACTTTAATATTAAGTTTAAAAACTCTTACTAAGTTATTATCTTAGGTTATTTATTATTATTATAAGTAAGGGTTTTTTTATATATTATATATTATAAAAAGTTAAGGGAAAGTTAAAGAAAAAAGAAAAAAAAAAAAAAAAAAAAGGAAAAATAAATAATAAAAATAATAAAAAGTAAAATAATTTTCCTTATTATCCTAGTTTTTATTATTAATTAGTAAATAAAAAAGGTTTTAGTTAATAATTAACTAATAGCTATAAGGTTAAAGGCAGTAAAGCTAGTTTCTACTTAGTTTAACCTTATTTACCTACTATAACTATAATTATTAAAATTAAAAGTCTTATAATAATTATAATATATTAAGCCTTAATATTACTTCTAATTCCTAGGTTATACTTAAATAACTTATTTATTTAATTTTATATTTTATTTTATCTCCTTTTTTATATTATAATATAATATCCTTAATAATAAATTTTTCTCTACTATTAGTTTATAATAATCCCAGCGGCTCTACTAATTAGCTAAAGCTAGGATATATTTTTAAATACTTAATACTAAATTTATTCTTTTATTATAGGTAATTAAGCAGTTTTAGTTAATATCTTAGGTTACTAATTTACTTTATAACCTTAAATAGTCTAGCCTATTAATATAAGAGTTTTATTTACTTATAAAAATAATAATTAATACCCCCTGGTTTAGTAAGCCTTATATACACTAGGTTACTTTTTTTAATTTTTAAAAGTTTATTATACTTATAGTTATAATATATTTTTATTTTAGCTATAATAAGTTATATAGTATTTTATATATTTAGCTATATATCTTAGTAATTCCTTATATAAGTATTAATAATACTAGCCTTTTTTTAAAAAAGGAAAAAATAAATTACTTTTCTATTATATAATAACTTAAATATTATATATATTATTATAAAATATATAAAAATATTAAAAAAGTATATAATATATAGTAAAATTATTAGTTAATAGTATTAATTATATTTACTCCCTACTAAAGTCTATAATATTAAAATAATAGCTTAAATTATTCTCTTAATTTATTTATTTACTTACTAATAATATATAATATTAATATATATCTTAATACCTATTATATAATATAATAATTACTATAGCTATAAAATAAATTTAAGATTTATATTATATATAAAAATATATAGAAATTCCTAATCTAAGTATATACTTTTAATATATACTATTACTTATTTCTTTACTATCTAAGTTATTATTTCTACTAAGTAGTAAATAAACTTAGTAAACTTATTTATAATAACTAAAATAGTATTAAAGTTATCCTTTATTAATAATAATTCTATAATAAAGTTTAAGTATAATATTAAAAAAGAAGTCTACGGTATTAGGACTAGTTATATATCTTTATATAAGCGCCCTTATCTTAGCTTAGCTTTTTAATATTCTAAATAGTTTAAAATATAGCTTATAATTTATTTTCTTATATTATAAAAAAAAACTATTTATTATAAAATTCTATAAAATATATATAAGCTACTATATACTCTGCTATTATATACTAGTTAATATACCTCCTTTACTATATTATTTAGTAAATATAAGCATAAATTATCCTTTATATTATAATATAATAATAATATTTATTTATATAATATAAAGTTTAATAAAGTATTAATACTTCTTTATTTTAACTAGTTTTTTATAATATTATATATATAATAGAAGGTTTTATTTATTAATATTACTATTATAATTTATTACTAAAAGTTCTTATATAAAAAATAAAATAACTTAAAAATAAACTTAAATATAGCCTTATTTACCTTTATTAAAGTATATACAGCAGGGGCTACTTTTATTAATACTTCTAAGCTTATATTATTATCCACTATTATTTAGGGAATTATAATATCCCCCTTTATTATTATTTAGCTTTAGGTTATATTTTAAGTAACTAAACTTATATTTTTCTAAAGTAATTTTATAACTTTTTTTACCCTTAAGCTTATTTATACTTTTACTTATAAATATATAATAATAAATATTTAATAAAGTATTTTATTAATTAGTAAATATAATAATATATTTATATTAATATATTTCTTTCTTTTATAATACTTAATTATAATCTAGCCTTTTTAATATTTTAAATATAATTACTAATTTATTAACTAATACTTACCCTTTAGTTTTTATAAGCTAATACTTTAGAAAATATTTTATATTATAATATAATTTATTATAATATATATTTAAAAGTAGTTTAAGATATATACTAACTTTTATAACGCTTAGACTAAGGCTACTATCTTAAGTTCTATTACTTTATAATTTTATTTTATAAAAATAAGTAAATAAAATAGAAATATAATAAGCTATATTTTCCTATTTTATTATTAATATAAGGCTACCCTAAAACCTTTTTCTTTACTTTTATTTATATATAGCTTAAATAAGAGGAAGTAGTCTAAGAATACTAGGTTTATTATATTATATAGCTTATATTTTAATATTTCTTATATATATTATATATTTTACTATAATATATTTTATTTTAATTTCTTTTTATTAATACTATTTATTTTATTTTTTATTAAAAATAGTTTAACTTTAGTTATATATATTACTTATTTAGGGTTTTTTAGTAGTATAAGTTTAAATCTTATAGCCTTTAACTTTAATAATAGCTTTATAATAATAGAGTATTATATAATAAAGTTCTTATAATAGCCTATAAAACTAAGGCTGCCCTCTAGGTCCTTTAGTATCCGCAGTATATTTAATTAATATATAGCCTTTATTTTCTCCGCTAATATATTAAAACTAAGTTTAAATATAAAGTA